GTAAGTGGTTTTTTAATCAATAAATGAGTTGCTATCTGCTCAGCCAATTAAAGTCCAATTGGCATAAACCCTGATTGAAATGTCTAGCTGCAATTAAAAACTGCCAGTGGTCCCTTTAAATAGAAATGGATCCTGGAGTTGCTGTGTGATTTTTTTTGAACATAATAAAAGAAGGTGTTTAGCATGCATTAGTACATGTGCTGGGCTGGGGCTTGGCTTTGGAAACGAAGTGCAGAAGTACATGCTACTCAGGTCTTAATACTGTTTGTTATACAGTGTCCTATTTGAGAGAAGCAAATACTAAGAGGAAGAAAATAGTCCAAAAGTTAGTGTCATAGATCTGATTATTGACCAGTTTATCTTGTCAACTACAACTAAAGAAATACACTTTTAAAAAAAAAAAAGTTTGTAGTGTTCTGTAGCTAAGTGATCAGAGAAAATAAAGATGTTTGAGGTTTTTGGGGCGTTTTTAAGTCCAGTCCTGCCAGATATTGAACACCTTCAGCTCCCACCAAAGTTATTGGGAGTTGTGGGCTCAATGCCTTGCAGGATTGGGTCCCTTTCTCTTAGGAAAGTGCATGTGCATCCAGCCAAGTGGCCAGGAAATAGATGTGGAGGTTGTGCACACACACAGCATGCAATTCTGCAGTATGAAAGATTGTTCTCGTGCACCTCTGTTGGTTCTGAATGATTCCTGGTCTGTTTCTGTCCAGGGATACATTCCACATGCAACACTGGCATCTACTCTTGTAAATTTGGCCTGAAATATGTCTGAAATGCAGCAAAGAGACTTGATGTCTGGGGACAAATATTTTCATGTCACCTGTAGACATCCATAAGGCATTTCAAAGGTTTCTATCCCACTCCGCGTCTTTATGCTTTCAATGAGCTTATGTTGGAATGGGGACAGTTAGGTCTCAGTGGGAGATGTGAGCAGCTTGGCCGAGAGTTCTGCATGTGAGTTACTAGGTGCTTGGGAGAGCTGTTTTTAACAAGAGAATATTTAGGGCCAAATGCTCAAAAGGGCCTCAACCCACAGCCTCTAGGTGCGCACTTGTAAATTTGCACGTGTGGGCAAGAATGTGCACAGAATTGTGAGTGCAAACACAAGGCCTGTTGGTGGGGAGGAGTTGGGTTTGGTGTGGACTGTTTGTTGCACTTGTAACAGTTAGGATTATTCAATTACTTACGGGCATTCACTTTTAAAAAAAAAATCATACCAAGCCCTTTCCCTAGAGACACTGGGAATGCATTATTAGAAGGACCATAACTTGGATGGGTAGGGAAGAGGGTTGGTTACAGGTCACCCTCTCGTCTGGAAGGAGCACGTCTTCGAAAGCAAACTCTCTTTTTAAAGAGGATTCCTCAATAGAAGAATGTTAGATTTAGGGAGATGATCTGACCCTCTCTTCTCTAACTTTGTCAGATAGGCTAGTAAAGGGGAGAGCAACTGTTTAATTCTTTACGGGGTTTGGGGAAGATTAATATTGATACAGAGAGCTATTCAAAAAAATAATACTTTTTGAACCCAGAGATGGGCCACCACCAGAACCCTGCCAATGGGTTAGATTCAAATCGTCCAATCTGAACCCATCTTTATGGTTCTAGATTAGGTTCAGATCTAGAAAGGTCCTTGTTCCTGGTTCTGAGCTGGGTACAGCTGAAACCTTGCAAGAGCGTGTGAGATTTCAACACCATTGTATGTGAATTTGCCTTTAGCCCTGATTTAGCCTCAAACTCCATCCTAACCCTAATTCAGATCCGAATTAAAACCAACAAAAAGACACAGGGAATTTCTAGCAGGTTCTTGTTTTATTCCATTTGGTTAGATGAGTGCTGACATCTAGAGACACCATATGGATAAAGACATTCATGGACGTAAAGGCCATGAGGTTATTGCTTCATGCAGTAGGTCTAGGAGTGGGTTGACCGCTGGATTTGTGACTGCCTCTAGCCCTGCAGAGATTTGAGGTAATAGTCTCGAGTCTGCCTCTCCCCTCTTCAAGGGGTAGTGCTGTTTCTGAATTGCTTTGCTGATAACTATAGCGCCTGAGGCAGCTGTTGCTGGGAGGCCTCTGCAATGGTGGTATGAGCCGTTCACATTCTGAGCCAGGGATCTAGCTAGGAAACCATGAAGTGTTGGCCTGAGAACCCTGCTTAGATGAGTCCTTGCTTACAGGAGATTCCTGAACTGGGCCTCAGATATGGAAAAGGCTCTGCCATGTTCTGATGGTCAGAATGACCAACAGGAGCATGCACTGAATAATTAGATAGGAGAGTTTACAGCAACCCCAGTTGTTCTATATAGATTCCAGTATAGTGGCGTTACAGAACTATGTAGTGGGTACTGAACAGTGCCCAGTACAAGCAAGGTCAGAGGAACTGAAACAAACCAATGAATTGTTGTTCACAAATCCTGATGAAACATCTTTTTGCAGGGGACTGTGTCATGTCCTCACAGCGGAATGGGTTAGATTGTTTGATGGGTCTTTTCCACCTCTAGCTGTGATGATCCAGTGACTTATTGGCCAAGGGTAACATTTTTGAAAGTCCCATTTTTAAAAGTGGTTTAGGTACTTGGGCTCCTAAGTTTAATTGGATCAATGGGAGACTTTGGAAAATAGAACATTTGCGCCTAAGTCATTTAAGCACTTCTGAAAATTTTTACGCCAGATCCCTCTGGCAGGATTTAAACACTGCATTTTTTTTGAATGACTTCTTAGTGGTGTGTGGTTGTGGGTTTTTTTTTTTTTTTTTTTTGTGATCCTTATTGGCTTATTTAAATATGTTGGTGCAACAGAAGAGGGTATTTCCATGTAACAAGTTTGGTGCAACAAAAACTCATCTTGGTTTTTATTTTTTTTCAAGGGTCATCTTTTCTGCAGACCGTTTTGGGCATGCAGAGAAATGCACTGGGCCAACAATTTCTCAAGCAGCCTCTGAAACTGCAGCCATCTTGTGCACCGAAGTGTTTTTACATGCAAAATCAGGAATTGTCTAGACCCGTGGTCTCCAAACTTTTTTGATCGCACACCCCTATCAGTAAAATTTTTTGAGCATGCACCCCCTGCCACGCCAGCTCTACCAAAAACAAAAAACAACAACAACAAAAAAAGCCACTCGGACTCCCGCCTGAACTGACGAAGCAAAAAAAAAAGGCACTCCTCTTGCGCACCCCCTGGGGTCCTCTTGTGCACCCCACTTTGGAGACCACTGGTCTAGACCAACGTCACTTGTACCTGCAGATTCTTGGACATCTTACATCTCTTGTGTGGGCCAGTTCAGTTTGTATGTTCAGATTTGTTTTCAGGTTTGCGCAGTCTTGCCCACAGTTTGAGGCCCAGTGTTTGTTTGTTTGTTTTGTTTGTTTGTTTTTTTTTTTTGGACCCTTTTTTGGCTTCTTTGTAGTCAGCAGCTTTTAGCTCACCAATAGGAGCTCCTGTGTGAATAATCTCAGATTATTTTCATCCCAAAGGGTCTTACGAGAGCATCACTAAATTCTGCTTAGCAATACAGCCACGTCCAGGATGTGACATATCAGCTGTTTAACAGTGTACAGCAGCACCACAATTTAGGACAAGAAGTGAAGAATACAGTATCCAATTGAAAGTGCAGCGTGAATACATAGGGACTGAGCTGGTTGAGTAGGCAGCTAGATGGTGATATGAGGTTCACTCTGAAGTTTGGATTCCCATTCACAGTAAAAGACCTTAGCTGTCTTATGTAAGTGGGGCCCAGCACTGATAGTGAAATGGAGCCTTAAGTCCAGTCCAGGGAATGGTTTTCCCCGCAGCAGGGAGTCTGTTTTTCCAAGGGAGGTTAGCACTGTGTAAAGCTAGGCAGCTCCTCTTTGTCATCTGTGCTCTTTTGTTTGACGATCCAGTTAGGTACACCATTAGCAGAAAGAGAAGCAGCATAAAGGTCACAAATACTGAAAATAACGCAAGTCACAGCTTGTTTTTGGGGGGCAGCAGGTTGTTGACATGGTAACTGCTGGGAAGTATTACTCAAAGGAAAGCTAACAGAATTAACATTTCATGTTTGACAATAATCACCACGTAGCTGTTCGCCCAAGCAGCCTGGCATTGTGGCAACACCAGTGTAAATATATTGTAAATGATAAGATGGCATGTTAAACCTGGAAGCCCTTTACTCTGATTATATCCTGGAGATATAGTAAGCCCATCCTGATAGGGGCTTAGGGGTGAGTAGCCTCACATCCCTGTTTATAGAGGAATTCCCCAGGAAGAGGAGATCATGCCATTTTAATGGTGTCTTGGGAAGTGCATTGGTGGGGAAAGCGCAGAGGGATTAGGAAGTCAGAAGGCTGAAGCTGGGCTGTGGTTTTTAACTTGAGTTGGCAACAAGTCAGCATGCCATCCTGGAGTCAGATGCACTCGCTGGGTGGAGAAAGAGGATTGTGAGTCACCAGCATAGAGGAGAGAGTAGAGGCCATGAGAGTAGATGAGATCACCCTGGGAGAGGAGGCGATGACCAAGAATATGGCTCTGAGGACACCAAGGGGAGGAGCTGCTGAAGGAGACAGCAACACAGTGGAGGGGAAGTTCAGAGAAGTGAGAGAAAGCAAGGCAGACGGAAGACATTAGAGAGGTCCCAAGACTTCTTCAGGGAGAAGCCGGCGAGAACCATTTCAGTGGAGCGGAGGGATTTTCTCCCTAGAGAACTCCAAGCCAGGTTTCTTTCCCCTGTCATTGAGATTCAGTGGAGGGTACTGTAGCAGAAGGGGCATGAGAGTCAAGATTAGAGGAGCAGAGATAAGGGAGGATAAGGATCAGCTAAGTACCCACAGTATAAGCTTCACCTTGTGCTACTTCTAACCTTCAGGATTTGCCTTTCTTTAATTGTGCCCACCTTTTAATTACGCTGGCACCCCAGCACCTGGATGGTGTTGGCAGGCAGCACTGTCTCTGTTATCAGTGCACTTAGTTTATTTTTGGTGGGGGGAACCTGACTGACTTTCTATCTGTTTGACTCCACAGGCTCACCCCTCACTATATTTACCCTCAAGCTATCGTTCAGCCTAGCGTGGTCATCCCAACCCCCGTGCAGTCTATCACATCTCCCTACATAGACTACACCTCTGCGAGCCAAGCCTACTCCCAGTACACCACCGCTGCCTACGACCAGTACCCCTACGCCGCCTCTCCTGCTGCTGGGTTTGTGGGATACGGCTACACGAGCGCAGTTCAGCAGCCCATCACAGCTAGCAATCCGGCAGCGCACACCACGGCTTTTGTTCAGTATCAGCCCCAACAGCTGCAGCCTGACCGAATGCAGTAAGGGCCCTGCCCATGCGTTCGCCATGTAGGACAATCTTTTACAGTGGAAGGATACAAACAAAAAAAGCAGAAAACAAAACCACCCAACCTTACTAGGTGCATACGAATACCTAAGCTATTTATAGTGTTAAGGACGAACCTAAACCCTTGCTGTCTGACTACGCTCATGGAAAAGGACTTCCGGTAAGTTTTCTTTCAATCAGGGCAAATATTGTCTTGAAGATGGACTTAAATTGACTGAAATATTAAAAGGAAAACTACAGTTTCTTGCACACTTAGTGATCTGCTTCCATTACCTGTCATCTTCTCACTCCCCCTCCTTCTCCCTTTCCCCATCCATCAGTTGTTTCCTACTCCCCTTCCCCTCCCCAAATCAGATCTGCAATCCTCTCATTTACTGTTGAGGTATACAAGGTACTCGGAGAACATGGATAAAAAGCAATCGTATTTTTTGGTTGTACAAAAACTTTGTAATACTCAGAGATGCCTTACAGAAAAAAGAAGAAAACTATTTTTTAATATTTATTGCGATTTTATTCGCATGAGCTGTGAATTGCAGACAGAAGAATAGTAGTAAGTATCTGCCTTGTTTAATTCTCATTTTACTAAATTATTGTACGTAGGTAAAGGTTCCTAAGTAATTGCTGAATCACTTCAACATGCAAAAGGGAATATTGGCTTTAAGGAAAGCAGAATATTCCTTTAGTCAACGCACTGTAATATTTTCTTATTGTAATTCTTACTCTTAAGATTATCTCAGACTTAGGTATATTTTTAAAATGCAAAAAAAAAAATAATCAAAAACAAAGCCCCCCACCTGGAATACTGAACATATTGTCTACTATGATAGATCTTTTGTTATAATGCTGCAACTTATGGAGAAATGGACAGTATTTATGTCAAAGTTAGACAGAGTTTTCAGGCTGTTGGCTGGCAAAGTTTAGGAGAATGTCAGGAATGGATTAAAACTTTTTTTTTACATATTTGAACAAATGGGTAAATGTAACATTTTTATGCCTATGGTACAACAGCCAAATAAAGAGAGACAACAGACCACATAGGATAAGTGCATTTTTACAAGGAGGAGCAATAAACTATTTTTTTTTTAAACCACTCAATACTATGTTGTATGCTCCAGTCAAATAAATATGGTATTAAAGACACAGATGAAATTGACTTGAATTGGATACACTGGGCCTTACCCTGCAGCTGTTGTGGACTTGATCCTGAGCGGTTCTGAGCCCCCTTCAAGTCTCCTGGACCCCTCTCTGCATTCAAACTACAGTTTCCAGCAACTCCCATTGGAGTCACATGCCTGGAAGGCACCTGGCCCTTAGTTGCCCTGTAAGTTGTGTTGTCCATTGAGTCCAGTGTCAAGTGGGTCTTTAGTGCTCCCTTTCTAAGCTGGTAGCATTTTCACCGACCATACGCTGATGTAAATGATGACCAAGGTGCTAGGCAATGGAGACTCACAAGGAGTGCAGGATCAGTATTGTCCTGAGGGGGTTTTCATGGTATTGCAAAGAAACCACATGCTTCTTCTAATGGAAGTTTGCACAATTGATTCCATCCAAAATTCTGTCTCATGTAAGGGCTGGGTTTCTGAGGGCCTCTTCAATCAGACATGCTGGGATTGGCACGTGCCCTCAGGCAAGGTGGCTCTAGGGCCCTGAGCCTTCCTCAGGTTGGCCACATGGTTCCATTTTATTTTCCCCTTGAATTTCCTATAGCAATTTGGTTTTCAACTTTTGACCCTCAAAAAAACTGTTTTTAAAGTAAATAAAATGAATCTATTTAAACATGTTTAATTTTCCTTTTATTTCACCTCTATAAACATCTACAAAGAACTTTTTTTTTCCCCCCTTATCTTGACTTTTTCTTCTATTGCTGGTCACTGAAAAAGTGAGACTTAAGCCATCCTTGTGTTTTAGCACCACCACATGCTGCTGCTAAGAAGATTCTGATACATACCCCCACTAATGATTTTGTGCGTCAGGTTAGGGACAAAAGAAGTGGTGATACTCTACCCACAATCCCAGCTTCCACCCATTATCCTAGACTAGCTGGATGGTTTTTGCTACACATTTTCAGCAGTAAAATAGGTAACAATATTGACATTAATAGGGTCATTATTATGCTTCCGAGTAACCACCCCATTTAGACTAGTAGACATTGATTTACTCCAGTCACTGCTGTTGTTTCAGGCTGCAGATACATTTCATACAGCGTTGCTCCAGCTCACTCGGGGTAGGGGGCAGGGGAGAGAAGCATAAAACTAGAACTTTTGTGTGTGTAAGTAATTAGGTTCTTTGGCTGCCCCAGGACTTTTATGTGGTAGTGGCAGCACAGCACACCATTGAATACTGTCTCAATATGATTCTACGCTGGGGGGAGGATCATGGTCTGAGAAGTCACTAGCTTAGAAATACTATAAGGGCAGCAGATTATTTGGCAATATTTTTCTCCCTCAAGCCTTTTTGTTCAATGGTTTTGGTGGTCCCAAAACCCAAATCTGTTGATGTGCAAGTGACTCTTTTTCTCCCTGCACCTCTTGTCAGCATTCCTTGTTCTTCACTCAAGCAAAGCTCCTTTGAATTCAATAGTCGGAGTGCTAAATGTAGTCTTCTGTCTTCCTCCAGGATTTTCACCTAGCTCCTCCTGAAGCCAATAGGAAGACTAATTTGTGAATGAAAAAGCTGTACTGTAGTGTACCTTTTGCTTAATAAAAGAGATTTTCCCCTTAGCTCCAACTTCCTAACAGGTGCCCAAAACAGGAAGCAATAGTTACAAGGGAAAACTGACCTAGATGTCTCCCTTTCAATAGATATTCAGCCCATTATAGAAAGAGATTCCTGGATCCAGATCAGTTTTGCCCCAGGCTTATTTCTAGAAAAAGCCACATCAAAACAATTGTCTAAGCTGCCAGCTCCCTGTTTGTGAAAACCCAGCGGGGGCTTGGTGGAATAACAATGAACCACCCTGTAGAGCTTTCCAGGTGGAAATGGAGTAGTGACCCACACAAGGGAAAGTGAAATGTTTAGCCTTTATCAAGACAATAAAACATTTCCCTCATCCAGTGCCAGGCTAGAACCCCAAAAGCCCCTTTAGATCCATCCCTCTGTTGGAGGGGCCGGTTCAAAATGCAATCTGCTAATGCTGATGTAGGAATAAGAGGTTTCAGCCTCTTGATTGGTACAGGGTCCTGCACAGGAAAAGTCTACACCCCTGCCAAGGTCCTAGAACATTCCCAGTTTCTAATGTAACTCTCATTTGGAAGCTTCACACCAAAAGAATGACTTTGCCTCTTCCCCTGTCCTTTGGGATGAACCTAGAACCAGTGGATCTAAATGGGCTCATGAATAAGGGCTGAAACTGGGCAGTAGCTTCCTCTCTCTGAGGCAAGTTGTACTGTGTGTAGCCTGTTCAACTAAAGCTCGCCTGCTCCAGCTGTAGATTAACAAGGGCATCTAGCATATCCAAGAGTAGCTAGGAGCAATGTGTGCAGGACTGACGGGGTGTATCTGTTTACCAGGTACTGAACTGCTGTTTGACATTTGTAAAGCGCTGGGAGGAGTCTGATGCAATATCCTAGGTGTGTATTTGCACGCTGGCTTACTAATGGGAATTGGAGGCATACCACTAAGTACTATAGGAGTTTTAAAATGGGGGATGGGGAGGGCCCACAAGACTGCAGGGGTGGAGGGTGCGCGGAGAAGACAATGCTAGGAAGAAGCTGCAGTGGAGGCTACTTTCAAGTGGAGCTAAGGGGCTACCCCACTTGGTCAAGGCTGCTTGGGGAAGTTTACGAGCCCTAGTTTATGCTCAGAGTTGACAAGTGCTGCTGGATGCTGAGAATTAAAGTACACTTGATGGTTGCACTAAGATTTTTTTTCTCGTATTTGCCTTTATCAAGAGAACAAAACATTCCCCTCACCCAGTGACAGACTAGAACCCCAAAAGCCCCTTAGATCCCTCTGTTAGAGGGAGGGCCTCCTGCACCCTTTTTTTCTGTGCTCCCTCCCCACTTTGACCCCTGGCAGTTCTCCTTTCTCACCAGGGTCAAGGTCAGAATGTCACATGCCTGAGAATTTACATGAAAGATCCCTGGTGTAAATGACTAGGAACTAGCGACTTCAGAGGGGTGAGCTTTGAGCTGTGTGGGTATAAATGGCTGTAGCTCTTACTTTTAATGGGAGAGGGAGAGGGGCAGGATTATCTGATGGAATTTTCAGTCATAAAAACTCTTTGAACCTAGGATTCAACAAAATGACCAAGGAGTTCAAATGAGACCATGCTCATGACTGTGGTAACGTGCACTGTGTGTAGGAAAGGAGGACTAACAGAGCAGTGTTTGCAGCAGATCAGGGGCCTAGAGGCCAGGCCAGTTCGAAGCTTTGGATTGAACAGCACCAAACTCTCACGGCTTGTCTCGTGATATTTCGGTCCCAGCTGCTGGATGCTGTGGGAGCTCAGTTGTTCTCATGAGATTTCTCCCAGCGGTAGGCTGGCATCCCCCTCAAGACTCAAATCCCACTGGAGTTTCTCCTTTACTAAAGAAAGCTGCACCCCTCCCGATTTAACATGTGAGGTCAAAGGGCTGACCCAACAACCCGTTTACTGCTATTGAGTCTCATTTTAAAACATTTGCTGCTCTTGATAAACTGCCTGGTGAAGGCAGTGGCCTGAAGTCACTACAGTCACCGGCCAGCGTGTTTTATCGGGTTCAGACACTTGTGGAGACTGAATGTTTCCTGCTGGAGGCCTGGGGTTTGCATATCAGCCTAGCAACATTTAGAGGACTGCTGCAACTAAATGAATAGCTTTCCTCACTCCCTGGTGTATTAGCAATCCCTAGAGAAAGGGGCAGAGTCAGGTTTGGGAGAAGCCCTGATGTGCTGTGGAGAAGTGTCAGCAATGGTGGTGGTTAGTTAAATGTGAAATCAGTCAGCAGCCACATCAGTTAATTTGTTCCATTTGCCCACAGTGTTCCAGTTGCTAGGGGCTTGATCTGGCGAGGTACTGAGTAGGTCCTGGAGCTGCTAAGTGCCCTTGACTCCCATGGTGTCACCCCAAGAGAAATAGATGCAATTTCTTTCATAAGACCAGAGCCTAGACAAAGGGACTGAAGAGATGTGGAATAGCAGCTGGGATAAGGTGGTATATCATCTTATCACTAGAACAAGCAACTGGGAGTCAGGTCTCTTGAGTTCACGTAACCTTTCTGGGACCTCGTTAACTTCTCCGTAGATGAGGTATAGCGCCACTTACGTCAGAAAGAGGAGGCATCCCTTTTGCCTGCAGCCACCCATATTTGCACAAGCAGGGGGAAGGTTTGGTCTTTATCTAAAGATGCTTTGCCCACAGCTCAACCAGAGCCTGCTGAGAAGTGTAACACAATAGCATTTTAACTTTACATAGTTTAGGGCAGGAAGTGAATCAGAGTATCAGGGCCAGATGGAATGAATGGGGGTGGGATGCTAGCTTTAAGTACCATGGGATCCTTGATGAGTGCAAAGAGCCAAGGACCTGGGTTATCAATTTCATTGAAAAACACAAGATGGTGCCTGTTTTCATCTGGCTGGAACCAGGGTCCAGGATTGATTCCATGGGAAGAGGAGTGCCCCCCTACTGCATCGCCACCTCATTTTCCACAGCGCAATGAATCTTCCTCAGACGTCTCCCAGGCAAGCACAGAGAACAGCCAACCTTGCTTAGCTTATGAGACCAGTGCCCAAAGGGGTGAGGCCTAGAGGGGAAAAGGATGAGCATTTATTTGCACATTAACTGAGATAACTGGGCTTTTGCTGCAGTTTACCCGTTAGGCTTGAGTGCATGGTAATGTTTTCACCCCCATGACACATTCAAAGAATGCTAACACCATCTGTTTCATTTTCTGGCTGGAACTAGCTTTCCCGTCCTTTGTGCCTCCCTCAATCCTGCCAACGTAGAGATTCCCTTGTTTAAATAAATAAAAAAAAGCCCGGATTAAAAACCATCCCTAAAATAGGTTGAATAACAAAGTCAACTGACTCTGTTGCATCGTGCCCAGTGAATGGCTGCCATATATCAGGATATAGTCAAGGGGGGTGGAGGGGGGCAGTCATGTGTTTTACTAGATGGTTCCTGGAAAAGTTTCTGTTCAGCCTGATAGAATGCCTGGCTGCTGTTATCTCTGCACTTGCACTTAAATGGATGTGCTGTGTCTGCTCGCCAGCTAGGGTGGTGGTGGAAAATTTCCTAAACTTAAAAAAAAAAAAAAAAAAAAATCCTCCTGTGATACAATAGAAATTGGTTCTTCCTGTGACCTGAATAATAAACAACTATAAATGGTAATCTAGGCTGTGCAAGTTTTCAAATCCTTGTAGTACACACGTTTAGAATGATGATATGAGCATTACTTGGCAGGGGGCGGGGGCGGGGGTGGGGGGAAGCCTGCCTTGTTATTGAAAACAGAGCTGAAGGGCTGAGCCCTCCTATCTGGGAAACACTGCAGGCGAGGATTTCACCTCTCTTCTCATGCCAGCTTCGGCCACCTTTTATTTTTTATTTATTGACATGGAACTTTTCAGCCTTTCTTCCAGTGGTTACAATACTAATCAACGAGGATGGGCGCAAATGATGTAATTGGCCTGGGGGAGAGGGAGCATGGAGGTGGGGAGGAATTGGAAATCTGAATTTCACAAACGACCCTTCTTTTATTACAGAGAGCTGAATCCACACAGCAGATCCCAAACTGGGGGTGTTTGACATTTGCATCTGGCTCAAGAT